GATGCATGCACGTATCTGCGCACGGTCCCGTAACACCAAGCCTCAGCGCAAAGGACGTACGGTCCCCTAGCGCCAAACACTATGGGGGCGTACGGTCCCCTAGCGCCAAACACTATGGGGGCGTACGGTCCCCTAGCGCCAAGCGCTATTGGGGCGTACGGTCCCCTAACAATAGCCTTTAATGTTTTGCTGTTGTTGTTAGGTTTGATATCTTAGCTTGCCGCGAATCAAATTCTAGATGTAGATCAGGCTCAAATAAGAGGGGTGGGAACTACCGAAAAAGCGCCAAAACCCGCCCTCGCCCAGCGGGGGGCCAGGTACGAGGCCCATCCCTAACCCTAACACTACCCCTACCCCTGCCCCTAGGCTACCCCTACCCCTAGCCCTCAATTCTGCTGTCTCATACTATAGTGGTCGCTCATTACGGAAGTCCTCCCATGATGAATTATAGTAGAGTGTCAATTGTGACTGGATCGTCCGGTCAGAACGGACATAGCCGGAGACGTACGCTGCTCTTCTTTCTTGAAAGTCGGTTAAAATTAACATTTTGGCCCAAATATATAGAAGAAGTATTATAATATCTATTTTTGTCGTCTTCCGGGGCTTCCCTTGCCAGTTGACTTAACTTGGGTAAGACATGGGTCTCAATAGTCCGCTATTTAGCGGATTTCCGCTACTGCCATTTCCTCCGCTTAACTCCGCTACCGCGACAGCGGGTCAATCAGAAGGTTGCTGGGAGCAACGGCCTTCATCGTTGGCACACATGGGCTCTCCCATTTGATCACAAACAAGTTTCTCAACTGGCGAGGTTTTACATAATGTATAAATGGCCTATACGCTGTGCACAGCATCAGGAATATTCCGCTATAACCGACTTGCACGTATATTTGATTGTGCTATAGCAGTATTTTATTTACAAAAATAAAGAAGGGAAAAAAACGGGGTTTTAGAATAATGTCTTTATAACAGACTTCTCATTCTTTCAGGACTCGTTATAAGTGGACTCCACTGTATATGAAATGATACTGATCTAGATCTACACCTGATAAAAAATTTAATAAGCTTATTTGATAGTTTTAAATACCATTGTGCAGTTTTAAAGAACAATTTGAGTGCTAAACATTCGGAAATTGACCTGTATTATCCTGTTTCGCACTGGCTTCACATTCCCCATGTTTTCAACTCTCCGTTTTGGAGAGGGAAAGTTTGAGTTGATTACACAAACGTACTGACTTCAAATTCCTTTCTTCCTCGTGATTTAAAAAAACAACTCTACTTTCCACTCCAACTTCTTTAGCAATGTCTACCCATTGCTTGTTGACGTAATTTCTGTTTGAGTAATTGTTTTGTGATTTTTCAAAAAAGTGCAGTCCCTTCTACACCGCTGCAATTAGTGCTTCTTCCTTCTTGTCTGCTCAAGTTCTCAATCAAGTGTTTCAATATATACTAGATCTAAGGCCTACAAAAAGAAAGAAGTGACCAACCCAAAGAGTCAAAACGTGATACTTCAGGATTAAAAAAGAAAATAATGAGAAAACACAGGCACCCGCATGCGCGGGCACACACAAATACACCACACACACGTGCGCGCACAGAGGGAATATACGTGGATATGATAATGGACGTCCCTGGAAATTTTCTAAGTCAGCTTGGCAGTCACTTAAGTGATTTGTCGTTGATCCCAATTTTTTCCATTGAGATCCTGACTTATAGTTATAGATTTCATAGAGTGGCAGGTCTATTTTTCTTGGTGTATTACAGTTGGAATTGACCCCTTTTGGTGTCAACTTTATTTTATTTTTGATAGGTCCAACTGCTCAACCACCACCACTCTAATTCTAGTCAATACAGTGGAACTCCGATTCAACGAGGTCGCCAGGCCTGACCTAAAATCTCGTTGAATCCGAGTGTTCATTATTGCAAACACGAGGTTTTGTGTTGATAATTACAGGCACTGAGCAAGTAATGTATAAAGAGAAGTCACAAGTAATGCTTGAAATGCCTGCATATAATGAGCTGTGTAAAAAAGAAGTGTTCTGAGAAAAGAAATTAAAATGCAGAAATGACGGTCAGAACACAGCAAACACGTTCACACTGATGCTGTTTGAGATGTTCGTCATCAGGGGGAGCATCTTTTAATTACTGGTATTGGTACATCCTATAATATAATAACTTGTCTCCTTTCTTGTCTTTAGCCTTCGTCACATTCAACGAGAGGCCGGATCCAACGAGGACAACAAGCCTGTCCCGGCGACCTCGTTGAATGCGACACCCACTGTATTTAAGATTTTGCCACTGTAGTATGATCACTTTTGACGTCACTAATACTAGGTACCAGAAACTAAATTTTCGAAGTAGCTGTATGCCAAATGTATCTGTTCCATTTGAAAGGCCTATATCCACTGAGCATTTTGGTACCATTCTTTAACCTCTCAGTCAATTTTTAAGAAAATGATCATTGTTTAAAATTTGATCAAATTTGTTAAAGTCAGTCACTGGCTGCAACCCCATGTTTGACAGATAATAAAAGAGTACCAAGTGCACTAAACATCTCCACATTAACAGTACAATCACTATAACAAATATATGGAGCCTAATTTTTTTCAAGACTGAGATCATTACAAATCAGTATTTTATTTTTATCACTTCAAACACGATGATCTGTCGTTATTTCGACAAAAACACCGAGCGTTGACCCGGCCGACGCCGTACCGGCCCCCACGGCGAGCGAGTCGGCTTATTCTGTAGTGTACCCCGCTTGCGGGGTCACATGCTTTCTGAGTCTCGCGGAAGGATTGATGTAAAATAATTCCAAGCTGATTACTTTATTTTAATAGGAAATAAACTGATCTTTTCCTTAATACATTTTTTAAGCCGGTATTTTACATATTTTGGGTAAAAAGTGATCTTTAAACATTTTGACAGCATTTTTAAAAGCTTTCTATTTAAACGACAAAGGCGAAATATGTACCACGGGAAAGCCTGTTTAAAGCGCTACAGTTCTCCACCAATGAAGAGACAGTATTTAATCATCGCTCGTTCCGCAAAGCATTTGAAAGCACGCGTGTCAATTTTTGAACCGGCCGACCACGCATTCCGACCGCGAGGGGCTTCGCTTTCGTCTGCGATTCTGCAGCTCCTAATAAACGGACATATAAACAACTTACACCATTGTAACGAGGAAAAGCTGAACTTGTACAGGGTGTACCGCATTTGGTGTTTTATAGCGAAAGAGCAAAGAAACAGTGATCGGAATTACCCCGATTTCACCGATACCACACGGTCGGAAGGAGTGCCTGCAAGGCCGTGTTTACGCAACCTACTAATACTTTTCTTAGTTTTGTGTTGTCTTGAAAATTTTGACCAGATTGTAGAAACCTAGTGATGGCCAAGGTTGAATTGCCTGTCCGTTTCACCTCCGGTAACCCGGTGATTGGGCATGCGCACTGGGAGTCCGAATAGCCGCGTGAGTTCAGACTCGAGTCTGAATAGCCGTGGTAAAAAATCAGTGGCTTCAGACAAAGCTTGAGAGTGCTACTTTTCCTGTTTTCATGTTGCCCCTTATTTTTATTCACAGAAAGCGACTGGAGATGAAGGGTTGGGCAAAATGGACGCGCTTGTCACGGCTGTGGGTGTGGATGAAGACATCATCTACTCAAAGAGCACAGCGTTGCAGGTAATTGTAATAATAATGATAATAATTACATTTAAGTGCATCTTATTCATGCTCACTCTACAGCATGCTCTGTGCGCTGTACAATTATTACCCCATCAGACCCTAGAACACTGACACATTTCCTGTTTCCTGAGAAGCATACTGTGCGAGTTGTGGATTGCACACACTCAAAAATAAACTGACAAACCTTTGACCATCTGAGCCGGTTACCTATTCCCACCTGTGTAAAGTAGGGAAACTTCATTAAAGTGCTTTTCTCAAAGACACACCGCTGGGCCCCATGACGGGGGATGGAAAATTTCGCAGATTTTACGCTGTTATGCAACGGCTTACTCAATAAGGCGCCCTTTCTGTGTCTGGTAAATTGCGCTTGTTTTTGAGTGTGGTATTGATTATTTGGTCTGTGGTCAAATCAATACTGACCTCAAACTGTTTAGCTGTGTCGGAGGGAGTACATTGTTTAGCTGAAAATAGTCCAGTGAGTTTGTCTCAGAAGAACCAGAAAATAATAAGTAAATATATTAGCGGCCTTGTATAAATGTGTATACCGGATGCTTTATAGTGCTCTAAAACAAAACTTAAAATGGAACTTTTCCTGACAAAGAAAGGATGAAAAAAATATATATACACAGTGAAATGACATTTTGATAATTGGCTAACTGAAGAGGTCTACTGCTTAACTCACTGGAGACTGAGGGATATTTCGGAAATTTGTGTATGGTTTTTGGTTTCTTCAGCTTTTGTACCAAAAAAAAAAAAAAGAAAATGGGAGGAAAAAAGACAGCAATGTAAAAAAAAAAAAAAAACAACTTTAAAAAACTTGTCAAATTTCTTATATTGTTGATTATAACAGTTTCATATAATTTTATTTACCATTTTTTCTTTTCCTTCTTCAGACATGGCTGTTTGGTTATGAGCTTACAGATACAATCATGGTGTTTTGTGAACAAGTCATCTGTGTCCTGGCCAGCAAGAAAAAGATTGAGTTCTTGAAACAGTTGGACAGCTCGAAGGAAAATGATCAGGGAATTCCCAGCCTAAAGCTTATCACACGCGATAAGGTAGATATAACTAATTTATCTTCATATTGTATCCTGAGGATGCATTTTTGTTAATTTGTATGTTGTTAAAGTTCTCCATGCAGGTGGTTGGAGGGCACCACTGGTAGGTCCTACTTCTTTACTTTCCCTCCGTTGTTCTGTTTGTCCGTCCATCTTATTTTTTTTCCCCAGCACTAAATGACCATTATTGTGATGATGTGCTTTTCTTTACTCAAACAAAGTCTGTCCGTGTTTGTTAGAAATACATTTGAACCTGTCCATGCCGACCATGGGGTGTCAAGGAGAATATTGGTCAGCTTAGGCAGGTGGTCTTCTTGGACAATGTCGTTATGATAACAAAAGGCAAGGGGGAGCTTGGAAGTGGTTGTTTGTTCCGGCGATTGTCTTTAAAGCAGGTTCGACTGTATAGCTATGAACTTACGGAAACGTATTTATAATTGCTTATATTTTTCCTGTAGACTGCACTAAACCTTTTAGGGCTAGACCACATCAGCTATAGAAATTCTTTATAATAGTGAAACATTTGTGATTTGAAGTATGAGCCGTATTTTTGCATTTGCCTAATTTATCGGAGACCTAGCTTATGTTCAGCTCATATACATATATATGGTGAAATTAACCTCATGTCCGTTTGCAAAGTCTGGAGTACGGATGAGAAAAAAAAAGGGCACATTTGAAGTAAATTCAACACAATATACTAACTTTACCTGTCAGCAGTCTTCCTTCTAATGAAATTTTCCATTTGGCAGTCAGTCAGTGAGTCATTTAGAGTTTATAGATAATATGCATTTTATTTCCTTTTTTTAATGTCTTTTAAGGTTTGTTTAGTTTACTTTTTTAGATTGTTTTGGATCTGGTTTGAATATGAATACTTGTATTGATGTCTGTATTGTTAGTTTATGTGCAGAGTTATTTGAAGATATCTATCATTTCTCCTTTCTCTCTCCCTCCCCCCCCCCCCCCCCCCTTCAATTTCCAGGGAGACAAGGAAAAGGACAAGGCAAACTTCCAGAAGATGATTGAGTACATAAAGAAAAGTAAAAAGGTAGTTGGATCTTTACTGGTGGTGCTACCTTGTGAACTACTTGTTAAGAACTCTTTGTATTCTTTCTGAGTGGCATTCCTCAAACTATGCACACAATTAGATATTCAATACAAAGAATACCAATTACACAATAATATTGGGTGTTTGTAGACTGCTGCAGTGTATGCTCAGTTGGAGAATTGGTAATAATTTGTACAAATTTGTTTGGTTTTATATTGTAAGGATATTAAAAAGAGAGGTAGTAAAGTTTTTAAAAATTATTATTTCACATTTGCCACTGTTCTTTAATTGTTGGAAGAATGAGCCCATTGTCTTTGTTGTGACTTTCAGGGCAAAACAGTGGGAGAATTTAACAAAGACAAGTATCCTGGAGAGCTTATGGAGGCCTGGAGAAACGCACTGAAAGGTGCTGGCTTTGAGAAGGTTGGTGGTATCTCCAGTTTGTGCTTATGATGTGAAATACAAAGACATTTCTAGTTGGGGGTTTTTTTTTATATTAAAAAAAAATCGTTTAGTGGATTTGGTCGATAGTGCTGTATAACACCTACTCAATCAATCGTTTGTGGGTGGTTGGCGGGTGCTCTGGTGTGGTTTGCTTCTTCTTTCCTATCAAACATCTATCGTCCAGAGCTTCCAGTCTTCTGCAATTTTGCGGATTTCCGCAAATTAGCAGAATTCCGCAAATGGAAAAATTTCTGTGAAAATTCGTGCCTTAAAAAAAAAATTATTTAAAAAAACGCGAAATAAAAAATGTCCGTAATTATTAATGGTCAAAAATAGTCAACCCATACCGCAACTGCTTTTTTATTTGAAAGTGTAGACAGTGTCTTTCACTTTCTAAAGCACAAGCAGAGCACCAGCACTGTAAGTGTAAACAATAGGAAGACATGACGATAATGGTTCAATAGATCTTGGGCCTGCCAAGAAAAGAAAACTGAAGAGAGCTTGAATTTTTCATCAGACTTGTTTATTTGAACATATTGTTGTGGATTTAAGTTGAATATAAGCTGTCAAGTTATATAGATCTAGATCTAGGTTCTAGCTGTACTATTATAAAAGGATTCTACACATTATGGTGCAAACCAACACATGCCGAAAAAAAAGTTGAACATAAAAAAGGTTGAACATTAAGGGGGAGGGGTAGGTTTAACAGGAAAACATCTCTAAAAAGCAATGTTACGTTTTTTTTAAAAATCCACCGTTACCATTGTAACGGCGGCCATATTGAACAGGGTGTCCAGCAAAGTCGCTAAAAAGTCGTAAATTCGGCGCCCTAGTCGTAAAGGTCGTAAATGGTAGTAAATTTGCCTTGAAGGTAGTAAAAATTTGGTAAACGGTCGTAAATTAGCCTGCATACTGAGTGATGAAGCCAGCAAGACTTTTCAGTGAACCCTAGCCGCGGTACATGACTCCGTTTTTGCCGGTCGCGATTGTGATATAATTATTCGTTCACTTTTTCCCCGTTCGAGAGTACGTTTCACGCAAAAAGCCGGCTATGTGGGCAGGTGGAAGTGTATGTGACACCGAGGCTCGATCGGGAAAATCAAGATCTACTTTCGCTTTCGTTACCACCCTGAAATTTGACGTAGATAAACTGATAACGCAACATTTGTAATATGCAGGTTGTACAGTATACCCGCTTTGTCGCCGTGCAAATAAAATTAATAATTACTCGGACTCTTCACCGTGCTGTCACTTATGGGGGTGGGGGTTGAAAAGAAAATGCTTTGTCCGATTTTTAGATTGTCGGGTGCGTGACAGGTCAGTGAACCTTCGCGCGAGGCACTACAAGGTACGGCATCGGTGAGCACCGCGTTTGTTGGGGTCGCCAAAGTTCATTAAAAAGTCGAGCGTTGCGAAGTATAGGACTACGGAGTAGGGCAGGGATTATTGATTTTTTAAAAAGAGACACTCGGGGGAGGGGGGGGGGGGGTAGCGGATGAAGGCAACACCAGAGGACAAAAACTGTAAGCAAATTTCAGAATTTTGATTAGATTTAGAGCCCTCCGCGACGCAGCCCATGCATTGGTAAGCCTGGCGAACAGCGTTGGCAACCTGAAGAAATACTTTGTCCGCAAGAGACTCACTCTTTCCGTACACCTGAGTGGCATACTTGTTGAAGGTCTTCGGATTAAGACCTGGGAGATCCAGGTGAGCACATAATGTGTTGAACTGGTACGGCCCAAGGCCAGACATCAGAGCCGCAGCCGTGGCACTCTGATTCACCTTGAACGGTTTCCTCTTTGCCGGGGTGCTGGTGTCGAGGGAAGACGTGTACTGGGGCTTACCGACGATGCTAGAACATTCTGAGCAGAACAGGGAGAGCCGAAGAGCCAGGCCGAACTGACCCATCTGACGTAGCGACAAAGTCCCAACGATGCCGCACTGGGAACACTGAAGCTGCTGGAACAGCCCCTCAACCTGTGACAACTCCACGATGGCTCGAGACATATCTTCAGCAGCAGCAGGCACGACATACCTACTCAGCTTCTCCTGGGAACGGAGAGGGATCAGCAGCAGAGGGTCCGGCGGAAAGACAGGCCGCCGGGTCTCTGGAATATCCAGAACCGAAGACGATGCAGGCATCTCTGGGGGCACAGGGACAGAAGACAAGGACTGCGGAAAAAAAAAGTTACAGAAAAATCAGTTTCATGCAAGTAAATTTCTGGTACTGAATATTCAAAATCTGTTGACTGAAAACATTAGGCCTGTAGGCCTACATGAAAAAGTCGTACAGTTGAACAAAATTTTGCCTATATAAAAGTGAATATAGGGCCTAGGTAACCATGCATTTCAAATTCAGTAAGAAGAATCAATAGATATTTTTCATTTCTGCAACAAAGAATAGAGTATAATCATGCAATAACACACACGCACACACACACAAACCACATAGATCTAGATCCACACACGTTACTACTACTAGATAGATCTATCTAGATATATCATTCTAGTACCACAAATACTAAAGTACACACACACACACGCGCACACAAACCACATGGTACAGATCTTGATCTACACACGCTACTACTAGATCTACTACTAGATCTATCATTCTAGTGCCACATTTATATTAAAGTACACATATAATTTATAAATTGATATCACTAGGCTAGAGAATCTAGTCTACATACCTCAGCCTCAGCTTCACAGCTCCTATCGAGTTCCAGCTCCACAGCCTTTCCACGCATCTCACGAGCTTTCTGCAGCAGCTTCGAACGACCAGTCACCTTCTTCTTCGGCATTTTCAATGACAATAATAACGCAATTCACAAATCTAGAAAAAATCTAAAATGTCTGCTTCAAGTATACAAGTAGGCCTAAGTAAGTAACAACCTTACTAACAATATCAGAGGCGAGTGAGCACAGCAATTGTAGAGCGTTATCGACACAGTGACGCTACCATCCAGCACGTAATCTGAAAGTGGCCCTTCGTTTCGAGAGACAAACGCGTTTCTTTGACTTGAGACTACACACCAAGTATTCCTTTGTTCATTCAAGAAAAGACGGAAAATTCCACGTGCAATTATGGGTCAAGCTTTGCGGAAGTGCCCTTGTAACTATGGTGGAGAACCAACAGAATTCGAGCATTCCTTGCAGTCATTAGCATTAGCCATTCAACATTCAAGGTCATCTCAGTAGTAAACATTCAGCCCACAATCTAGGTCAATCTTGGTGAAACCTTTGTCTCGTTTTGAGCTAATAGGAAGCGGTGATGAGACGTCATGACCCAGTTGCATATTTATTCAGACAGGGGAAAAAACGATTCCATCGATATACAACACTGTATGCTTATTCCGAGATAAACTATAATTATTGGTTGGTCAATTGATGAGAAATAGATCATGTTTTCTCAAAATCATACAATTTTTGCCCTACCCTAGTGTTTTGAAAGACAATTTTAGATAGAAATACGTTATTTCCAAATTCTCTCATAGCTATTTTTAGGTACAGGAGAAGTTGAAGTTTCACAACATGTAAAAAACCGTGATACCCTAATTTGACCTCAAAATCGTCCATTTTAAAAGCCGCGCCCCCCCCCCCCCCCTAACTGTCAAGTTTTATAGATCTAGCTGTTATACTATTGTTGTGGATATACAGTATCGGTACAAGGGAGAAAGCATGGCTTTGGATATACATGGATTAACACAAACTGAAAATTATGTATGCAGGGTATGTTTTTTTCTCACTTATTTTCTTATTAAATTTAGGCTTGAATAGCCAGAAATGGCATACTTAGGATGCCCTGATACCAGAAAATCTCAAGCGTAAGCGGTGCGCTGTCCCCCTTCAACCCCCTGCCAGGGCGCTGCCCTGGACCCGTAAATCCTCGCAAAATGACATCAGCTGCTGGAAGCTCTGGTTGTCCTTATCTCCCCTCCTTTTTTTATGTTTGTTACTCTCTTATAACACCTCTAATCTTCTGGCGCTCATATGACCATATGCAGTTGCGAGCGCTGAAAACGTCTACTAAAACAAATATTAAAAAAATTGTTTATTCGATTTTGAATTATCTTTATGTTTGGTACTTAGCAATGGTTGAGGTTTTCGTTCACAGTTGTACAGTTGTTCTACTGTAAGTTTGTTTACTAGACGCGAAAGTGCTCCAGTTATATTTCTACTAAGGTGATGTTTGTTTTGAATTGTTGAGACTGCATTGCCATAATACGCTACTGCTTCAAAAGTGGCAAATCCAACGTATTTTAGTGATCTTGCTTCTAAAATGATGTTTCTGTTTTGTCTTGTTGAGAGTGCATTTCCATAATATGCTGCCACATCAAAAGTAGCAAAGAGTGATGACTGTGAATGGCAGAGAAAAAGTTTATCTAATGAATGTTCTCCTTTCCTATAGATTTCTTCATGAGCATTTAATGATTTTTGCAAACTTTCTTCTGGTAATTTTACATTGCAGGGGGGGGTTTATGTTTATTCCGTTACAATTTAGTTTATATGACATGTGAAATATGGTTGAGCAGAATTTTTTTTTTTACCAAAGAACTCTTTTTTCACAGGTGGATGTTTCTGGCCAGTTTGCTTACATCATGGCGCCGAAAGAAGAGTCGGAAGTGAAGACAATCCAGAAAGCAAGTCAAGTGACCTGTGACGTCTTCAACAATTACCTCAAGGAACAGATTATGGAAATCATTGATGCTGACAAAGTAAGTAACGGATGAGTCAAGAGAGAGAAATTATTACGGGGTTATAAAGGTAGGCAAAATATGGATGAACCACATATAGGAAAATACTCCTAAAAGTGGACCACGCAATAGCAGATTCTGTAAGCAAATCGACGATGTCTCAGTAATTAATTGGAGTGTTAAAAAGAAGGTTGGCTACCCAATGTGTTTTTAGGTGGAAAAATACATTCTGCAGTCAGATTTACTAACCATTTTGTTATAATTAAAATTTTGGTGTATATATTACGATTTTGTGAAAAGGGGGTGTCAGAGGTGGGAGCATTTTATTTATAGCATCGTATCGCAGCTTGGGATCTTTAAGCAGGGTGACTGCCAGGCCCCGGGATTTTGAAAAGAATCACCGAGACAGGGGAATTTGAGGAAATCTCTAAATTGCTGCGGGAAAGACCCGAAAAAATACTTAAAACCAAATCTGATAACGCCCGTTCATTTTTGCCGGTTGCGATTGTGATAAAATTCATGCAGCTAATCTCGGCCTGAGAGTGCATTTCACCAGAGCAGGGGGCTATGGCGGCAGGCGGAAGTGTACGTATGATACTGAGGCTCGATCGGGAAAATCAAGATCTACTTTCACTTTTGTTACCACCCAGTAATTTGCCGGTAATAGTTTTATAACGCAACACTTGTAACATGCAAGTGTGCATTCAGCAGTGCTTCCACTCTTCCGTATTTTTACGAAAATCCGTACTTTCTGCCAGTTCCTTACTTGTTCCTCCATCATTATCAACTCCTTCCATAAAAATCTGCGACAGCGTAGGACTACCGAAATTCCATAGCAAAAGATCCGTACTTGCCTTCGTATCGTCTTGAACTAGTATAAGTTACGAATATTTACGGTATTTCTCTCGGATTGTTGCCGTGGCGGGAAAATCTGCACGTTGATCAAGTAAATTGACATGTGATCTTAGACGGAAAATTATTGTCAGAAAGAAACTTTTTTACAAATTTATTTAGATCTAAAGAAATTATCAATACGATGATTCTACGGCACGGGAACGCGATAAGGGCCGCTATGAAAGAAATTTATGCTAAAACCAGCCTAAATAAGTCAAGAATAATTCAAAGTGGTGTTCCGAGTTTGTGACATGCGACATTCAGGTGTGAAATTTAAGGAAAATTAGGGTATACGACGGGTAACTGTATTGTGAAGGTACATCTCTGTTTATTATTCCCAGTTTTGTCTTCTATCAATGGTGTGATGACAAATTAATTGAATTATAGTAGCAATGGAAGGGGAACCTGCTTTTAAACATTGCCATCAATGGAAATAAAATATTTTGTAGATCTTGGTGAAGAAATCAAACAAGACATATTGTTGATGAAAAAATAAATGTTGCGGTTTGCAGGCAATCTCTTCAAACAGGCTCCCTAATGCCATTTTTCAACCCTCTAAAAGCACTAAATTTCAATTTCTTCGGGGCTTCGCCCCATGGACCCTGCTGGGGGCCTTTGTCGCCCCCCGGCAGAATTTTCCTTACTTTTCAGCTTCAGCTGGTGGAAGCACTGACTATTAGAATAATACATGAGTGGTTTCTTTTCTGCACTGCCACGTCCCTTCCTTTTGTTTTTCACGCACCTGAACACCTTCCAATGTTTCTTATTGAATGTCCCAACATTGCATGTATATTTGCTGACCTTAACACATTACACCCTGACTCGCTCGGGACCGCCAGGGAATTCCCTTACGCGCTCCACCCTGACTCACCCGCGCCGACCTAGCATCTTTAGAAACGAAGTTTCGCTTTGGTAAGACACTGGGGCCGAGATTTGATTTGCATAGTTATTGCAAAAAGTTTCTGCTTTCGTTTGGTACCGAAACGAAATTTTTCTGGTCAGTAGTTTTAGTATTAGAGCCGAACGAAGTAATTGAGTTCGAAAAAGGAAATAACGATGGATTTGAGCAAAAACAAGCATATGGCAAATTAGATGACTCAGATTTTGATGAAAACGTTGTAGCAAGAGTTTGGGGCGATTCGGATTGATCAGACGTAGAAAATCTAGAATTTAGATCTAGGGCCCGACCGCGAGGCTGAGAGTGAGAATGACGGGTCGGACACCCCGATTGAACTAAAGTTACATTTCCAACAGTTTGCGCAGACATAAAGTGATATTTTTCTGAAACTACATTCATTTTTCGTTTTAACTTTTAATTTTTCAAGATTTTGGAATTTGTTTAGTATTTTTAAAATGTGTTTTTTAACTCATTGGAGACTGACGGAAATTTCAGGGCACAACCTCTCAAGATTGGCATTTCAGGGCATATTTTGATAAGCTGTTTTTCAAAAACTAATAAAGCTATCACTTTCTCCTTTGTATATGTTTTTATTGAAATGACCAGGTTTCCAACAAAAATAAAAATGAAGTCATTATCTTTATTAGTTTTTGAAATACACCCATGTAAATTTTGATGAAATTTTGTCTTGCGCATAAATTTTGGAGACATTATATAATGCAAAAAATAACAAATGAAATAAAGCCGTGTCATCACCATGACCATCCCAGCTGCAACACTTGCTATTGTAACATCTTGTAGATCTAAAATTTCTTCAGTTTCAATAATACATCTGTCTTTACTTTTAGTAGCAGATCTTCTAGATCTAGATCTAGATCTAGACTTGCGTTTCCTTTTGGATGGACCTGGTTGGTCAGGGTCTGAAACATAACTGTCATCAGTTGACTCACTATCACTAGATCTAGTCAATCTATCCTTATCTCACTGTTTTACCACAAATTGTGGATCCCCATCAGAGTCATATTCAATATTTGATATATCAGAGTCTACTTCATCAAAAATTTCCAAGTCGTTTAGCCTGTTATTAGGCTTACACTTTCGTTTTTGATGTGCATTCATGTTCAGTTTCAGTAGAGAGGAATTGCTATTTTCGTTGTTCTGGGGTGGTCGTAGTTTTTTATTTACCAAAAGTTTGGTTCGCTTCCCATCAAAACTTGGATTGCAGCTAATGGTGTAAGAGTGGTGACTGCGTTATTCTGAGGCCACTTCTCGCATATGTAGCGGGATTTACCTGATATTTTCCCATTGACTAATCGGTCCCGCATAGGGTGCAGGACGCCGCCGGTAGTGTCAATGTACTTGTCCCGCAGCTTGTGCGGCACGCGTCGCAAGTGAGTTAAAGGCTTGTATTCACGGGAGGTGGGTTCTTTCCCTTTGCTGAGGATCTAATAATGGACCTTAGGGTGTAATGTGTTAAAGTTAGTTTATTTGCTTTTGCAATTATTTCTTTAAAGATTAATGGTGGATCTATTTGTTTGTGGTTATCAGAAAGTGAAGCACTCCAAATTGTCAGACGGTGTGGAGCAGGCTCTGCAGAACAAAAAATACGTCTCTGGAGTGGACACCGGTCAGCTGGACGTCTGTTACCCAGCCATCATCCAGAGTGGCGGGAAGTACAGCCTTAAGTTCAGTACGACCAGGTAAGTAGTTGGCTCTTTTGGTTTGAGTAATCTAGTGCTTGTCAACTTTCTTATAGTCAACCTATACGTTTGCCTGTTTTGAGGGGCTAAAATTTTCTCTCAGCCCACCTATATGTATGTCCAAGTGTGATCCCCATCACCCACCAAAATAACCAGATAACCCACTAGTGGGTGATACTGCCCACCTATATAACCAAATGTCTCGCTAGTGGCGAGTGATACTGTCCGTGGGTTGGCAAGCACTGAAGTAACTAGAAGTGAATAAAGTTCTAAAACATAATACTTGTCTGTAATTTTGTGGAAACAAAACTTCATGAATGCTTCGAAGCGTTAAGGGGCTGTTTATACTGGTCGAATAACGAGGGGTGCGAATGTTTTTTCTTACTCTAGTCCATCAGCAAAATTCGCCATTAAATTACTTTTGTGGCTCCACCAGGGTGACTGCCAGGCCCCGGGAGTTTGAAAAAAATTGCGGAGACCCGGGAATTTGAGGAATTCTGTAAATTGCCCCGCGAAAATACATAAAAGCTCTCGAATATTTAAAAACCAAATCCAATAACGTCCTTGGGGGTTCATTTTGCCGGTCGCGATTGTGATATTTATTCGGCTATTCCTGGTCTGAGAGTGTTTCACGCGAACAGGTGGCTATGGTGGCAAACAAGTGTATGTGTGATACCGAAGCTCGATCAGGAAAATGATCTACTTTCGCTTTCGTTACCACCCAAAATTTTGCCGGTAGTAGTCTGATAACGCGACATTTTTAACCCATAGGTTTTGCATTGCAAACACTGTCGCCTAGAAATTGAGTCAATATTTGTCCATTGTCCAGTGCTGTCACTAGTGAAAAAAAAAAAAGAAGAGAAAGAAAGTTACACAAGCTTATTGCCCTCCCATATTTCTTACAACTCTCACACTGAATAGGTCTACTTGAGGCTTTCCAGTTAGTACTGTACTTTTGAGTTTGAGCGATAAATTTTGTCTTTCACGTTTATTATATATTATTATAATGGAGCTAAGCCTGTTTGTGAGGTCAGTATACATTTTTTACTCGGGTGCCCATAAAGTGTACAAAAATATGATTCAGTTAAGAATTGTGACAAAGGGTTACATGGGTATACTTTCAGAGTTCGGAAGCTAACTTTTGATTTTTCAGGTTTGATTTTTTTCCCTGTAAATCGAAACTCTCAGATGTTTTCACTCTGCCATTAACCATTTCATATTTTACTTGGGACTACTTCCGTTTCGGTTTGTGCTTCATCGTGTGTAGCTGTTTCTGTTCCCAGACATAGAATCCCGATTTCCAACTCTGTTTGGATGTGTGCAGTGCTTCCACTCTTCCGTATTTTTACGGAAATCTGTACTTTCTGCCAGTTCCGTACTTATTCCTCCATCATTATCAAGTCCCTCCGTAAAAAACTGCAACAGTGGACAACCGAAATTTCTTAGCAAAAGATTCGTACTCGACTTTGTGCCGTCTTGTATAAGTTACGGATATTTACGGTAATTTTCTCGGCAATAAATTAATGTTATAGAGACCAGTCAGATTGCGCATTTCCTGCAACCGGCCATTATTCCGCTATGCCCCATGTGTTCATTGCGGGTTGGTAGGCAGTACATTTTTAGTTGCAGATTGATCAAAATCTGGCAAACTTTTTGTGCCAGTTTCCTACTTTCTATCATTCACTCATTCCATCTGTCTATCTTCGGGCTGTATCCGCGGCTGGAAAATATGCGCGTTGATAAAGTAAATTGACTTGTGATCTTAGATGGAAAATTATTGTCAGAAAGAAACTTGGTACTTGGTTGCAAATTTATTATTAACCCCTAGAGCGCTGACTTCTTTCCCCTTATATTTTCCCTCTGTACAGAATTTATTTTGGGAAAACGCCAGATTTGCACAAATACTTTTTTTTGGCTAATAGCTTTATTTGTCAAAATTTCTAATGACGGTAAAAATAAAAGTTTTAGAATATTGAAAGTTATTTATGAATATGTGAAGCAAAAAGTATTTTGTGAAGTTATTGTTGTAGTAGCAGGGTTGGAAATGACTGAATAAAAACTGCCAGTTCATTAGATCTCTAGATCTAGATCAGAGTCTATATGCTTCGTAGGCCTACGTTATTTTCCACAAAGTGTTAGCTCTAGCGTCAAAACCCTGGAAATCATCTTCCGATTCAAGGAAAATACGTGGACCATCTTCATCTGAATCTGATGCGACACTATTTTCATGTTTGTTGCGTGTCGCAAGCGCGAATTTTCAGACTTCACTGTCACTCGACTTCAACGTGAAACAAAAAACTCTTTGCGCCTCGATCGAAATCCGTGACAAGAAAAATGGCGGGCGAAATCAATTCTGCGTAGCCTAACAGCGAGCAGTATAAAAATTACTACTTCGTTCTTTTCGTATATCGCGTTATACTATGCCAATGTCTATCGCGACCGCTCGCGATCAGCACTTTACGGAAGTTCAGGCCGTCACGACCACCGCGATCAGCACTCTAAGGGTTAAGATCTGGAGAAATTATCAGTGCGAAGATTTCATGGCACGGGAACGTGCTTAAACTACTAAAATCAAGAATAATTCGAAGTGATGTTCCGAGGTTGTGACATGCAACATTCAGAAGGGAAAATTATGGTATACGCTGGGTAACTATTGTGAAGGTGCATATCTATTCATTATTCCCAGGTTTGCGTTTAATCAATGGTGGGATGACAAATTAATTGAATCATAGTAGCAATGGAAGGGGAACCTGCTTTTAACATTGCCGGCAATGGAAAGATATGTTGGTGAAGAAATCAAACAAGACAAAATGTTATGGGTTGTAGGAAATCTCTTCAGGCTCCCAAATGCCATTTTTAACCCTCTAAAAGAACTATATTTCAATTTCTTCGGACTGAACTTCCTCTGGGACGCTGTCCCTGGATCCTGCTGGGGACCTGTCCCAGACCTCCCGCAAAATTTTCCTTACTTTTCAGCTTCAACTCGTGGAAGCACTGTGTGTGCTTCAAGGTGTCAGTGGATACTTCAGACCAAACTTCATTGTATTGGCTAAGTTTTGAGAAAAACGGCTCTAAAGTTTCACCTTTGTTTCTGCAGAAAAAACAAAAACAGAACACCCTTTTTTCATAACAAGTCACCATTCTAGTAAAAAGGTTTTGCTGTTGCTGAAATATAATGTTGTTAAATCATGTTCATAATTATTATTGTTTTGTTTAAAAACTTGATACCCCCCTCCCTCCCCCTTCATCTCCTGCAACACACACAGGCAAAAAAAGTATCTTCACCACAGTAACATTATGAACTTAACACTGTCAATCATCAGGGTCAGAGGAAAACTTTTTGTTCCTTACCCACTTAACAAGATTGCCACATATCCAGATCTTAGAACCCAGACTCTCCCAGGAATAAATGAAATTTTGTTCTGCATACATTTAGAATTAAGAAAACAAAAATGCACTACTATGAGTAAGCTAGATCTAAACTAGATCTAGATCTAGGTTTATCAAGAAAGAACAGCGTAATGATAATTATTACTATTAATTATCATTATAATAAATAATTATTAGTTTGCTAAATCTAAATCTATTTCTATTATCACTGTTGTTTTTGTTGTTGTTAATCTTTACCTGCTTCGCTCGGTTCTGCTTCAAGTGCGGGGTCTGGAACTGGCGATGACACCACAGATCGAACTCATCTTCTTCCTCTTCTCCCAAATCGACGTCAGAAACGAAATAATCGCATATTACATCTCTAATGTCTTCTTCAGTTGCCATTCTGACATTCCAATGCGTCTAAGAGAATTGAGAAGAGACACAATTTCCTGCTCACGAATAGCAGTACTAGATCTACTACTAACAGTAACAGTACCAGTAGTAGTAACAGCTGGCAGCTCCGCCGTGTTGTTGTGCTTCGAGACGACCTGACAACACAGTCGCTTCTCACAAACCAACTTTAAAAAGCAGCTCAACAATAAAAGAACAGCTTCAAAGTGTTTATATTACGTCTTCAAAACAAATTCACCACCACATTGAACAGGAATTTCAAGAAATACGGTTTGCACAGGGCAGAAATAGGCGATACAAGTTTGCTCTTCAAAGAAACAAAAGGGTATGGATGCGCAAAGTTTCGTTTTGTTTACATGTTCTAGATATTCATGCGCACATCTGCCATTGGAGAGCAGAGAGAATGACCTAAATTTTAGTATGCAATGTGATTGGGTCGACTTTATGAATGGACAAGAGAAACCATCCGCAGTGTTTGCCCTAAAAGCCAGTTTCCTCACGCATTTTTTGGCGTTATGCAATATACCTCGGGTTAAAAAACACCTTTTAAAATGTATTTTAAAGTCAAAATAACCCAAATCCTTGTAAATATCAATACATAAATGGCTGAAGAATCCATTTTTAATGGAACTTAATTTTTGTCAAAAATTCTATTTTTGACCTTTGAAGCCTGATATCTCGGTTTGAGAAAATGCGACATGTGGTCCCTTTCACCAGGCACACCGCTCTTTCTCACCACACTGTAGGTCATACAATAGTGCTCTCGCCCTTGTTTCTATTGGGTGCAGTGAACAAGCTGTACCACAAACATTTTATCTTGGGATTTCCTATCACTATATCACTGTTCGTAGAACATGTTTGTATCTTGTATATAGAAATCTTGACAGTCGATATTCTGGTTCTAGGCCTTTTCTCAGGCTCAAAACACGATTCAATTTTGTATAGTTTATGTAGGCGAATATGAGGGGAAAATGTACACATATATTAATAATTAAGAACAGGCTGAAATACCCTAGTCACACAGTACCCCAGTGCCACACTGACATGTTGAGTGGTTATAATGTACTTACATGCGCGCGCGTGTGTGTGTAAATGGAGCGCGCGGTGTCATTGCTATGTAACATGCCCCTGGAAAATGGATGAGCACCCCTTGGAAAATTGAGAAGCCGGGTTGGCAGTCACCCTGCTCCACATATCACTCTTGTCTCGTAATCAGCAAGGAGAAAGTATTGCTGTATTTACAACAATAATTTCAGATATACTGTAATTTTACAGCGGAATGACGTATCACAAAGCATTCGAATCTAAATCTACATGTTCTGTTCTTTTTGATCATCAGCGACGACAGCAACGTCCAGTTTGACGCCATCGTCTGCACAATGGGAGTCCGCTACAAGTCTTACTGCTCCAACATTGTCCGCACGCTGTTGGTGAATCCAGAGGAGCCTCTCCAGAAAACGTATGAGTTCTTGGTGCAAGTGGAAGAGGAGATCATCTCCAAACTGCAGCATGGTAAGTTAATTTAAATTTATTTTTTTCTTGATTGCGTCACAATTGGAGTCAAGTATCTGACATGCTGAGTCATTTTATTCAGTTCTTCTATCGGCACGTACAGCTTCTCCTGTAGTGTTAATGGGTGTGTTTATAGTTTTAATAAGAGTTTTACAACACTAGAAGCACAAAAAAGTCAAATAAGTGCCGAAGATTAAAGGTGTTATGAAAGAGTAACGTACAATGATAGATAAGGGCGATAGATGTTTGATAGAAAAGGACCAACATTAGAGCACCTGCCATCCACCCATATTATTATGGTAAGCACAGGTAATGTAAATACATGTTCCCTGTATTCTTCCCAAGAAGTGTAAAAAAAATAAAAAAATTCAGTATGCTATCAGGTCAGCTGGAGTAATAATATAGATTGTAAAGCGCTTAGAGCTTGCTGTTGAGTGAAAACTTGCGTTATTGAAATGCTGTTTATTATTATTGGCCTGATTATTTATTTATTATGGGGGGGGGGGGTGTGATTGGCAGGGGGCAGTTTTTTTTATGTTGTTATCGATCCAGAGTTTTTTTAATATGAAGAGTGTATTCCTTAGTATATTGTATGGTTGTTGATGTGGTTTCAGGAGTGAAACTGAGCGAGGTTTATGAAGCCGGGGTAGCATTTGTCAAGAACGAGCACCCAGAGCTGGAGGCCAAGATGGTGAAGAGTTTTGGCTTTGCCACCGGCATTGAGTTCCGAGAGGCTTCACTGCTCGTTGCTCCTAAGACAAAAGCTCCTGCAAAGAAAGGTAAGACTAAGACTAATTATATTTATTTTAAGGTGTTTTTATGCCCCCATCGACAGAATTATAGATCATTAAGGAGGCTAGTTTCCCACCTTGTCTGTAAGAGTCATCCTGTGCTGAGACTGAGAAGGATATAACGTCCCAACAGTCAGACTGGGGAAAAAACTGATGATCATTTTGCCAAGAATTTGTTTATTAATGTTCTGGAAACAGAAATGCAAGATAAACTAGTGTCTGTTAATGTAAAAGTGCTTGTGGTGGCCTTGCTTCGTAGGTTCATCCACACACACAGACTGAAAAACACACACGCACACTTCTCTCCCTCTCTCTCTTTCTCTCTCTTTCCCTCTCTCTCTCTTAAAAAATTTAGCTAGTCTGCTAAACAATCTTATTTGTGATGATGCCCACATTTTTTTACCCAGGTATGGTCTTCAACATTAGTGTTGGTTTCTCGGACCTGGCGGCAAAGGAAGGTAAAAAGGCAGCTCTGTTTCTCGGGGATACAGTCATGGTGAATGAGGTATGATTTTTTTTTTTCTGGGACCTTTTCTACCTGAAAACAAATTTGTTATAATCACAGAAAGCTTGATCCACTTATATCTGAAGCTGTTGATGGAAATAGCACTCTCATATTTGCTCCTTTTAGGAGTTCCCAGCCTTTATATTTCTGGAGATTTCTCAGTAGTTAAATTTCATTACCCATGGGGAAAATAAGAGAAAGACTTGAAACCATTCCAGTGTGTATAAGTGTATGATTTTGTTGTTAAAATTCAGTTGCACAGGTTTTATTCAGTTTGTTTTGAGATAAAGAAAGGGGTTTGAGGCAGTGGAGATAGGTACATGTACTGTGGAATTTGCATAGTGTGAAGTCAAAAGGATCAACCATGAATTTGGATGTGTTTACAATACATTTAATTTTGGACAGCGTTTGTCACCAGGTGCATAGAAATTGATTTAGAAGACACCCTAGTTCTTCCTGTATCTGTCTCTCGTCTCCCCCCATTTTATCTTGTACCCTCTATCTATCATTGCACTGCTCTAGAAGATGCTGATTGTACTTCATGCACAGATATTTGCAGTTTGTAGTATCTCTTTTTTTTTCTCCCTCAATTTTATATTGTATTAATTAATTACATTGCGGCATGGAAAGCATGAAAGGTCCTTGCGCATTTCAGGGTGCCCCAGCCACAGTTCTCACCAGCATCAAAAAGAGGCTGAAACACGTTGGTATTTTCCTCAAAGATGATGATGAGGAAGAGGAGGAGGAAGAGAATGATCTTGAGAAAGAAGCAGAAGAGTTGCTTGGACGAGGTCGGAGGACAGCCATGGTTGAAAGTAGGACAAGGGTGAGTTGTCCTGAGTTGAGGGGAGAAAACCGTGTGTTGTATGTGTATCATTGTGCATAATGTGTGTGTACATGAGAGAGAGGAAGAGTTTGTTCATGTCCACAGATACACTGCTCTGTTACACATGTATAAGTGAATTGTGCATTATTGTTTGTTTATCATTGAACATAAATTATGTAATGAGTGCATTTCTGCTCTGAATCTTTGTATGTCGCCCAATAATTCTCCCGTGGATCATTAGTTTCTCTCATCTTATATTATCTTAGATGAATGTAGTATGAGGTAGGTTTTTGTTTTGTATTTGGTGATACAGTAGTCTCCGCCTAAGATCCCACCGCTTACGATCCCGGTTCGCTTAAGATCCCGCTGTTTTAAAAAAACAGAATCTTTACTATACAAAAGTCACACCCCTAAGATCCCGCTCTGATTCACTCTGAAGGTCTACATTCGGCTAAGATCCGGCATTTCAGATCATAATTTGCGGAACAAAAACCCGGGCGGGACAGCCGATCAACCAAGAGTGAAAAGTTGAGATCAATAAACTGTCCGTAGCGTCAAAGATCAGCTACTATCGTGAATGTGATCACACACAAGTTGTAAAACTCGATGAAGCGATATAATGTTAGCCCCAGACGGAATCACACCGGGGTGTGAATTGACAGACGCGTTTGTTTTCCCCGAACACCGCACTCACACCTGAGCTATCCCCCTAAACTTACATCTCTCGCTGGGTGGGCAGGGCCTACACGTTCGCTCCAGGCGGGATCGCATTGAACTGTGAACTCTTCCCTGACCATTGCAGAAGTTTAGACCTGCATGTTTGCCGACAATCGCGAACCGGCCGATGCTATCGTTAGGCCCGCCTGTCAGTCAATGTGCGTAGTGCGAGGCCTGGCAGACTGCCAGCGACCCCTTTTTCTCCCGTCGGCTTCGTCGGCACTTTCGATTTCGTGCCGACGTCGGCGTTTCCGACATAATTGTCGGAACCTAAGTAGAATTGCGAATACGAAAAAGGACGACAACTTAAATTATCTACTTTCAGTTTCATGCTCGAGCGGCCATTTTGAATTTCGTTTGTTGACTAATTCAATTGTTCAGGTCGTGTGGATTCATTCAAGTCCGACTCTCTTGTTCTAATAGAATCTAGATCTAGATCTAGGAATCTAGATCTAGATTAGATTTATATAGATCATTATTGACCTCAGTGGAGGATTCATATTCCAATTCTATTGTGTCAAACCCTATCATAGGTTGTGCTGTAATATTAATATTGGTAAAAATAAGTTAAGCATTTCATCAGGTGCGTGAATTATTTATTTATTTAGATCTATATATCTAGATATAGATTTCTAGATCCAGATATCTAGATTTAGATTCTAGATCTAGAATCTAGACTCAGCTGAGTCCCTCTGTTCGGAATCGGATGCGGATTTCTAGATCTAGTTCAAGGCCTCCTATTCACTTGTTCTACAAGATCTAGAGATCTAGATTTATTGGCGCTTTTTCAGGAGTTCCCACCCCGCAATTGTTATTCACGGGTTTTGGCCCCAAGAGTAGGGGGGTTTCAGGGGGGCTTGCCCCCCTGACCTAATAAAGAATAGGAAGGGGGGTTTCAGGGGGGGGCATGCCCCCCTGAATTTTACTATAATTTAAGGTTTGATATCTTAGCTCACCGCGAATCAAACGTATAGATCTAGATCTAGATGTAGGTCAGATAAGGGGGGCGGGGTCTACCGAAAAAGCACTGATTTATTTAGATTACTACATCTAGATCTATATGGAGGATTCATATTCCAATTCTTTGGTGTTATTGTATCAAACCCTATAGCAATGTAGATGTAAGCCAGATCTAGATCTAGATCTAGAAATCTAGATCTATATGCTCCTTGTTTGTTTTGGAGTGTGGTTTTTTTATTTAATTTTTTTTTTTCAT